GGGAAACAGCAGTCGCAAATACCACGCAAGACCTGAACTTAATATCACATGTGCTCATTAGTATAATTTTGTTTTTGTTTAGGAGCTCTTGGTCTCCTGTAGAACACGAAAGTTTATATAGCAGGGATGTTGGGACCAGAGAAAAAGTCCTGTTATATCAGATCCCTGTTAATTCAGAAATGCAAGGGAAGTAAGCATGTGTGGACTAATCCAGCTATATTTATTCAAGGGTAGTTTCCCTTGCCACAAGTACTCATGAATAGGTGTTTTGGCAATGTGGCAGCCCTGCACATGACATATTACGCGTGCGCACAACTAGGTCTGGGGTTAGATCGAAGTCTGCAGCACACGGCCGCCCTCTCTTGCTTCACCCGCTGCGTGTGCTGGCAATGAAGTAGCTAGTACCTTGCGTGGGCTTGCTCCTTCACTGCGTTACCCCTTTCTCTCTCTCTCTCTCTCTCTCTCTCTCTCTCTCTCTCTCTCTCTCTCTCTCTCTCTCTCTCTCTCTCCACATTGTTAACGAGCCTTAGTCCCTGCCATAACCGATTGGGCTCCGATGAGGCCCTAGCCTGCTATTGCCGATAACTTTTAATAGAGACAAAGAGTAGGAGGGTTATTACCGGATCCCTGTTATTACCGGGCCTGTTATATATAGTTTCCGCTGTAGTTAGATTTTGGACATAACCATCTGTCTGTGAGGGAAAGAAGCCGCGAAACTGCCATGGTTTTTGTTTATCTAGGTTGGAATGAATAAAACCGCTCTCGTGAGAATCACCTGATGCTTTGGTTCAGTGGACTACATCACGTACGTGCTGGAACGCCACGTCTTACCTTTGTTTTCGTCACGGTGCCATTCAAGCAGAAATGTCCATGCATAGCAAAGCACTTTCTCACAAGGCCTATGCCACTAGACAATTCTTGGAAAACCCAGTCATACCAACGTTGGAGTTTTCACCAGTAATTTAATAGCTGCGATATGGAGCCCTCTGACATGTGAAATCCCATGGAACAGCAGCTGAAGAAAAGCGACTTTGCTCCCAATTCAGACTATTTGTTTGCTACCCTATGTGACATTTGGGATGAAATGACAGATGCTTATGTCCAAAATTTAACAAAGTAGATTCCAAAACGGCTCGTGCTCTACACAAAACAAATGGCTCATATAAAAGGAAAATAATATGCACATTTAATATTTAGTCCAAATTTTGCGTGGTATTTGAGGTTGTTCTGTTTACGGTCTTGTTCGAAACTATCGTTATAAAATATTGTATATTGCAGAGAAAAAATACTCCTTTTATTGGATATGCAATGCATGTCCATTCTATCAATATTGAAGCTCCGCGCAAAGACAATGTTAGTTTTTATTATTTTTATTTCGCACGATTTTGCCAAGCCTGATTTTCTAGGTCACGCTTGAGTGACAATATCTCGGACGTCTTTAACATAGGCGAATTATTAACATGTCAGATGGTGTAGAATTTATTTACATTTAAATTAGTATGCTGCATGAATGGGTAGTGCTAGGCTTTAACACGATGATTGAGTGATTACATTTTCATGTTTGTTTTGGAAGCTACTAACATATGTGTCAAGACATACTGGAATCAGGCGCTCGTCAATTTTTGGGCATATCGAGTTACTGGTATCATCGTAAAGCGTGTTCATTTGTCTTGCTTTCAATGAAAAAATTACCCATTCTTCTTCAATAGAAGTTGAAATATTTTAGATTGAAGGGGGTTGAGATGACCTGGTTTCAGAGGTAAAATAAGTGAGAAAATGGTCGCCAATACTTGGTAACTTCTAAAGCTCGAGAGTCCATGGAAACTGTTAATTTACTTTTTTGTGTCTTTAATCAACGTCTTTCGGTAAAAATCCTCACAGGAATTTGTTTCGTAAAGGACATAAAAGGTGTTGAGCCAACACAAAACGAAAAATTGATAAAAATTGCTAAGCGGGCAGAAAAATGTTGTTTTCTTCGATTTCAGTATTTTAACGAGCGCCTGATTTCACCACGATGCCTCACATATTAACACTTAGTGCACGGTGTGCCAATCAAGCTGGCCCACAGCTTCGCTCGGTTCCTTACACTCCGAACAAAAATCTACCGATATCCAGCCAATCCATCGTTTCTATGACCAAACTGGTGTTTTTTGCATGGGTCATTCATTTTTGCCCTCTTTGCTGTTTATTTTATGCAAACAGATTAAACGTATCACTGTGGGTGGTTAGCGGGTGCTCTGGTGTGGTTTGCTCCTTCTTTCCTATCAAACATCTATCGTCGTTATCTCCCCTTCTTCTTTTTTATGTTTGTTACTCTCTTGTAACACCTCTAATTTTCTGGCGCTCATATGACCTTATGCAGTTGCCAGCGCCGATAAACCTCCCCTAAAACTAAAAACGTATCACTACGCGGTGGAATCAGGCGCTGGTTAATTGTTGGGCATGAAAATATGGAGTTATTAGTACCATCAAAAGCTTATTCATTTGACAATGACAATGACAATGACAATGACAATCTTTATTCATCTCGCAGGGAGAAATTTGTCTTGGTCGTTAACAATGGCAGTAGACGTTACAAAAGTTTGACTTAAAGGTGCACTCACGCAAACGCACAACAAGACAGGACATTAGGCCAAGTAAATACATTTCTCACGGGCTGGGACAACCCGCTCCGTAAAACATTCATTCTCTCTCTCTCTCTCTCTCTCTCTCTCTCTCTCTCTCTCTCTCTCTCTCTCCCTCTCTCTCTCTCTCTCTCTCTCTCTCTGTTTCATTTTTAGCACTGTGTGTTCAGTAACCTTACTGCAGTTGGTACGAATGAATTTCTATATTTGTCTGTTCTTGCTTTTTTGGAAATGTATCGTTTACTGCGGGTCGATAGTTGAAATTCCGATGTCAGTGGGTGGCTATGGTAACTAAGCATTATTTCCGCCTTTTTTAGAACGTTTGTCTTGTGCAGATATTCAAAGTTACTTAGGTCTCTACCAATTGTTCTTGATGCCTTTTTTATCAACTTATTTAGTTTTATAATGTGCTGCCTTCCCAGATTGATACAATAGCAAGTGATTCCAAAATTTATCAAAGTTTCTATTGTGGAATTGTTTCCAATAAAAAAAAATATCCATCTATCTTATATAGATGTACGTCTAGACATTTGCAATTGATGGTGGTGGGGTTGCCGGGTTTCAGTGGTAAAATTAGCGAGAAATTTGTCGCCAAAGTTTGACAACTTTAATAGCCTGAATCCTTGAAAACTGAAAAATTACATATTTACCTTTACTCAGCGTTTTTCTATAAAATTCCCCATGGAAATGTGCTGTATATAGGCATACATGTACAAGGTACTCAGCCAAAAACAAAAATCCGATAGGAATTACGAAACTGGCGAGAAAAGTCCTGTTTGTTTTTTTTCGATTCCAATATTTTGACGAGAGCCTGATTTCACCACGATGCTTCACAAATCGCATCAAAGCTATAGGGCGGTTTGTGATGCTGTCATGACAAGGCTGGTTGCGTACAAGGTAGGAAAAGTCTTCCTTATACGGGGTGCCCATTGCGGATGGGACCAGGTCGGGTCGGGTCGGGAGAGGTCGGGGGCGATCGCCCCACTCGTCGCCTGAAAACAAACGCTCAATCTGGCTAGCAGACTGCCTGGACCAGACACGATTCCCCCCTATAGGCACCTCGTATTACAGTAAGAGTCGATTAATGTGTACTGTGAGGATGACGGACCAGACAACTGAGATTTCTTTTGTGTTTGGAAAAAAGGGGTCATGATTGACTGAGGGGAATTATAGAAGGAGGGACGTGTTTTGTTTGTTTCATTGTTTGTTATTTTTATGCTGTTTTTTGTATTTGTTTTTGTTTTCTAAAAATAAATGGGGGGGGGGCTGCGATGTGGCAGATTTCACATTACTGTTTCTGACATTGTACGTTAATTTCAGACAATTTGATGATCAGGTAAGCGATGAGGACACTCTAGACGGTCAAATTGACAATAATACGTTCACCCTTAGGCCTTATGTCAATTTGATGATGATGATGATGATGATGATGATGATGATGATGATGATGATGATGATGATGATGATGATGATGATGATGATGATGATGATGATACATTTACCTTAACATCAAATTGATGATGATGATTATGCGTTCCCCTTTTGTCAAACTGATGATATGATACGTTCACCCTTATGTCAAATTGACGATAATGTGTTCATCCTTATATCAAATTGACGATGACGATACATTCATCCTTATGTCAAATTGACGCTGATGATGATACGTTCATCCTTATGTCAAATTGACGATAATGTGTTCATCTTTATGTCAAATTGATGATGATGATGATACGTTTGTCCTTATGTCAAACGGACGACAATAATGCATTCATTATGTAAATGACATGCAATATTGTAGTTGAGGTTTGTGTTTCCTCCTTTGACCCAGAGCAAGAAAACAACGCAATTTGTCAAAGACAACTTCAAGCGACGAGTCTGCTGCACCTTTGTCGGCCGAGATGGGTAAGAATCTGATATTTGTGTCACGACACGGTGGAATCAGGAGCTCTACAATTACTAAACATATTGAGTTATTAATATAATCTTATAACTTGTTCCCCTGCCCTGCTTTAGATATAAAAAAAGGCGCCCATCTTTCTTGAATAGAAGCGAGATATAATTTGTGATTGAAGGAAGTGTGGGTCGCGTGGTGCCAGATGTAAAAATTATTGAAAACATGGCCGCCAACGTTTTGTTTGTTTGTTTTTGTGAGTGTTTTACGGCGCTCGCAACTGCATAAGGTCATATGAGCGCGCGGGACACTTTAAACTATTTAAATTGGTAGGAAATTTTCAACTTTTGTGACTTCTAGAATTTTGATCACCACTTTTCAGTAAAATCCACTCAGGAATGTATTTTTAAATGGACATAGAAGCCTACATACATATACTGTGTTACATCGTAATACTTTATTAGTTTCTGAAGGGGTGCGGAAGGTACAGAAATACTGACTTTGCCATTTTGACAGCAGAATGTGTTTCTCTTTTCTCTCTATCTTGTGGCATTGCAATGTTCACAGACGACACTGAATTCACCAGAGCCATGTGTCCATAATCTCCGATCAACTTAAGTTTCACTAAAGGACTGTGCGTTGCACGCTAAGGCCAACGTTGGCGCATTCTTTCTTGGTCAAGCACGCTCAATGTCTTCCTCCAGATTCTGACTATTAGAACGTCAATTCTGATTGATAGTGCCCTTTCTCCGTTTCCTCTCGCTTCCACCTCTGTTTCGTGGGGTTAAACAAACTCTGCGTTTTTGGGGCATCTAACTACATTATTAACTAATATTCCATGGGATCTTTACTCCGAACAGATCTCGATCTAGATTGACATCTTCTTTCTAACTACTCCAAATCAGTCTTGAATTCTCTGCTCCAAATACATCTAGGATATAGAGATAGAGCCTTGCTCTATAAAACGCTACGCAGAAAATACGCTCCAAATTCTGAAAACGTCAATACAACGCAGTGAACATTTTGTGGGCTTAATTAAACAAACTCAACGTGTTGGGGACACCACTACACCAAATGTATCTAGAAAAAGTCAATACAATGAAGTTCGACCTGAAGTACCCATCGACACTGTGAAGTACACACATCGAAACAGAGTTAGATATCGAGATTCTAGATCTGGAAACAGTCAGAAACAGCTTGGTAAACACGAAGTAGAAATCTGTGGAACACACACGACAAAGCACAAAACCGCACTTCTGTTCTTGCTAACTTCTCCAAATCACTCTTGAATTCTGTGCTACAAATACATCTAGGAGAGAGATCTAGGTATCTAGATCTAGAGTCTTGCTCTATAAAAAAAAAATACGCACCAAATACACGTCAAATTTTGAAAACGTCAATACAACGAAGTAAACATTTTGTGGGTCTAAACGGACTCAACGTGTTGAGGACATGACACACCAATTAATATATCTAGAAAACGTTTTTTTTAAAACAATTCTCCGATACAATTAACTTTGGCCGGAAGTATCCATCGACACTGCCAAGCACATCCAAACAGAGTTGGATATCGAGATTCTAGATCTGGAAATTGAGGAAGCAGCTGTCTCACACGCACGACGAAGCACAAACCGAAACGGAAGTAGTCCCCAGTAAAACACGAAATTATGGATAATGGCAGAGTGAAAATATATGAGAGCTTCAATTTACAGCAAAAACCATCAAACCTGAAAAATCAAAAGGTAGTTTCCGAACTTTGAAAATATGCCCACGTAACCCTTTGTGGCCCTTCATGGATACCTGTGTAAAAAATGTATACTGGAGGTCACAAAAGGGCTTAGCTCCATTGTAATAAGATTAGTATTATTATTATTATCATCATCATCATCATCATCATCATCATTTTTATCATTATTATTATCATGTTGTTGATGTTGCTGTAGCCGCGAGGACTCTGAGTGTGTGTGCCGGCTGGCCAGGAGTGAGCACGCACAGCCAGTGACGGTCGGTGAGGCGCATGTGCCGTGGGCGTGGGAGACGAACACAAGGCAAGAGGCCACAGACGCCTTTGGCGACATGGACTTCCAGCGTTTTGGAGAGAGGAACAAACCGGTGAGTCATGGAGGTGTGGTTTAAGTAAGAGTTTTACGGCGCTTGCAACACAAATACGCAGACAGGCTGGCCAATCTTATACTGAGTATGCGTCGGTAGTCGTGTGGTTAGGTTAGGCTGCCGGGATCGTTACCGTGAGTCCGGTGTTTGCTACGCAAATAATAGAAGATTCTAAGTGTTAATAGAGAGTTTCTTAGGCAGAAAAGAAAGAGGAGGGATATGAACGTTAGATGTTTGATAAGAAAGGAGGAGCAAACCACAATAGAGCACCACCAACTACCCATATAGGTTGTGAGGGGTATGTCTGACTGCTCTGTATTCCAACCTGTTTGAAAATATCATCAGAAGTTTCTGTTCGTTGCAGATGAAATAATATTCTCGATTCAATTCATTTGATAATCAGTACAAGTACATTCCACCAACGTTCATGTTTTTAGGTCAATTTTGAGTGGCCATAACACGGGAGACTCTTGATATAGATGAAATATCAATGTGTCAGATGCTACAGAATTTATTTAGCTCTAAAAATTGGTGTGCTGTATGAGTGTGTAGCGCAAGGCTCTAACACGATGATTTGGTGTTTATATTTTCAAGTTTCTTTTGGACACCAAAGCATATTAATATATATATATA